ACTCTTATTCCTTTGTCAATCGTGTCATGCCAATAGCATTTGAATAAAAACACTCTATTCTACTCGTTATGATATTCCAGTTCGACGACCTCTTCTAATCTACCATAGTAGTCAACTTCTAACTCACTACTAGTGGATCCCTTAACACAAACACCACTGTTGTATGTCTTTCTTCCTTGCCCGTATTCTTCAGTATGGAAAACATATCCATTGACAAAATACCCGTTGTAGCACTTACATTTTCTTTCAGGCCCAGGCTTACTGAAGACAATGACTTAGGTGCACTCCTTCCCATTTGATAAACCTTATATGTAATGTACATCAATAAACAATAAATGAACAAGAATCTCATAATGACGTGCATACATACAGTAATTTTGCAAGTTAGAATGAGTTTGTGATAATGCTTACATGTGTTCTGAACCACATTGCAAACTCCTCATCTTGTAATTGAAAGATCTAGGATTTGGTCAGCTGTGAGTTATTAGAGAGCAAATATTGTCGATGTTGCCTGCAAGTGATAATGAGTGTACGATATTACAATATATAATTAAGAGTATATTACTAACAAAGTTTAATTAGTATAAACTTACTGAATAAAAGGTCTCAGCTCATCATAGCTAAATAGAACGCAGTTGTGTGATTGTTTGAACTCTATTTCCGACAAATATCTTCCTCCTACGGCATTTTTAGGTATGGGTCGTCTAGTATTGGAGAATATTGACAAGTTCTCACTGGAAGGCACTTCACCGCCATCATCATGCCGGGGAACGCGATTGATTCTCGTTCTCAGATGAGGTCTAAAATAGTACGAGATAAATGTTGAGATCTCCTTAACAATATAGGCCTCACATATTGAAGCCTCAACATGCACCTTGTTCTTAACCTTTTCCTTGAGATTAAACAAGTACCTGCATTGAAATATTAATCAAGTATTTTCAATTGAGAAAAACATATAAAATACTTTTATATATGAATTACATTACAATTGTAATATCTAACCGTTCGAATGGGTACATCGATCTATATTGGACCGGTCCTCTAGCTTTTGCCTCGAATGGTAGATGTATAGGGAGATGCTCCATTGAGTCAAAAAATGATGGAGGGAATATCATCTCAAGTTTGCATAGTGTTTCAACGATATTCATTTGAAGCCTCTCAATGTGATCAGCATTCAACTTGCTAGAGCATGTATCTCTGAAGAAATGACTGGTCTCCATGAGTGCATCCCATATTCCCTTTGGCAACAAATCACGAAAAGCTAATGGGATGAGTGTTTGCATAAACACGTGGTAGTCATGACTCTTCATTCCATACAATTTACAGTCCTCTACATTAACCAGTCATGATATGTTCGATGCATGTCCATCTGGAAAACGCAGACTCTTAAGCCATTTGTAGACTAGTAGTTGTGTGTTTTTCTCTAACATGAAGCTTGCTCTTGGTTTTGCGACCCATGACTCATCATAAACCAACTCCATATTTTTACGGTTATAGTATAAAGCTATATCCAATCTAGCCTTGATGTTGTTCTTTGTCTTCCCCTTCACATCCATAACGGTGTTGAAAATGTTCTTAAACATGTTTTTTTTTATGTGCATGACGTCAAGGTTATGGCGAAGCAGATTGGTCTTCCAATAAGGAAGCTCCCAAAATATACTTCAATTTACCCAATTATGGGTCAAACCAAAACTAGAAATCTTTTGCTAACCTGGTTGAAGGCCAAACACAATGTCACTGTACTCTAAGACAACATCATGCAATTCTTCATTAGAAAGACGCGGGGATGCAACATCTTTTTCTACTCTGCCAATAAAGAAATCTTTTCTGTTCTTTCTATACCTGTGATTAAGTGGCAAAAAGTGATGGTGATAGTAAAAAAAAGAAGCTTTGCCTCCATTTGCTAGCGTGAATGCCTTGTTGTATCTAAGTTTTTTATATGCCACTAGAGTCTTTCCCCTACCAGTTCTAGGTTTGTAACGGGAATGCCCGCATGTCATGCACTCGGTCATCTCAGCATTTTCAAGGTAGTATAACATGTAGAAGTTAGGGCACATGTCAATTTTCTGGTATCCTAAACCGAGAGGTTTCATCATGGACTTTGCAGCATAGAAGTTCTCTTTCAACCTGTTCTCTTTAGGAAAAAGTTTCTTGCCCATTCAATAATGTTATCATACCCGACCTCACTCAACCTGTGCTTTGACTTGATGGTGAACACTTGTGCTATGACTAATAATTTACTATGGTTCGTGCACCATCCCATAATAGTTCGTTAGAATCTTTCAACAAATCAAAAAACCTAGCTGCATCTACATTAGGTTCTTCTTCTATGATTGGATATTGACTGATATTACCTTGATTCATTCTCATTGCATCCATAACCATGTTTCTGTAAGAATTAGTGTTGTCATTCTCGTTGCTAGCACTAGAAGTAGACCCAACCACCGTTTCTTTCATTCTCCTCTCACTAACATATATTTATCCATATGCATACCAACACTGGTAATTCTCTATAAACCCTTTATGTAGAAGATGCATCATTACAACATCTAGATGCAGATATTTTTTATTTTAACACTTCCTGTATGGACACCTAATACCGTCTCTAGTAAAATTTCTAGGAATAAATGTTGCGAAATTAATAAAACCCTAAACCCCGTTACAATAATCCATCCTCCGCAATCCTTGGAGTGAATCTCGATACATCCATGAACGATCATCCATGATTTATATCGAACCTCTATAAAATTATGATGACATAATGTATTAATTAACTAAGTTACGTAAATAAACTTGCAAAAATATTACTTTACCTCGAGATTATCTAACAAACCAATCATAACTTCTCATAAATATTAAAAATTCATTATCATTTATCAACATCCATACAAATTAAAATATATAAATTTATAGAGAAATTATCACTCCGCAATACCATTGACAAAACTTTAAACGGACCCAATAAGTAAGCTATTAATTATTTCAAAAGACCACATGTACTTTGGTAGTTCCATAAAGTTTTAACAATTTACAAATAAATACAATCTTATAAAATCTAAAACAAACCATAACAGGTATAGAATTATACATTCATATACTATAAGTTTGTTTGACAAATAACAATAAAACATGAACATTTACTAACAAAATATGTATACTAAAAAAACAATAAAATTAACATTTAATTAAATGTTTAGATTTAAAAAAGAAAGAATTACTTACAAAAATTGACAAAATCCATCGGTAAATCAAAATACGGATGTTGTGACCACAAAACTTCAAGAAATATAACTTGATTTGCTGATATGAGGGAGATTTTTGTTTGGGGGGGATGGGGGCTGGTTGTAGTTGGGGAGAGTTGGGATTAGGAAGAAGAAGGAGAAATAGGGGAGGAGAGGGTCGGCAGGTGAACATATATTAACTTTTTCTAACGGTTTCACTGATGGATTTTCCATTAGTGAAACCGTCGATGATTCTGACGGCACAATCGACATGTCACCGTACGGATCTGCCATTTCAAATCTGTCGGTGAATCCGTCGGCAATGTAAACGGCGGTCGATGTACAGCCTGTCTTTTTGAATCCGTCAGTGATTCCGTTTGAAAAATAACCCGCCAAAACATCCACGTCAGTGACCTGTTTTTTTATGACGATGACGTTTCAATTTGTAATTCAGTCGGTAACTACCAACGAAAAATTTCCGTTAGTGATTACCGACAAAATTGTTCCTCAGTAAATCCGTTGCTATTTGAGAATTTCTAGTAGTGATAAAAGCGAGCCTTATAATTTTTTTTGTTGTTTGATATTTACAGAGAGTTTATCTAGTTCTTTAGGAAGAGGCTCTATATCTAATGACTCCCATGAATTATTTGCATAAGTATCTAAAAACAGTACGTGAACCAAAACCTCTTGTTAAGTTAATGAGGATGTAACATCGAGTCCCCTTTTTTTCCAAGTTCAAGCATAAGGATTATTCAAGTAAAAAAGAAAACATTTCAATGTATTAAACCTTTTTAAATAACAATGAGATGGTGATCAATCGGTGTTAGAACCACTAGTCCTAAGTAAATAATGTGAGTGATGCATAAAGTTGAGAAATAACCACCCACTGCAAAACTTGAGTCTTTTGAATGAAATATAGAAATAATTATCAAAATCCAATATAGTAGGGGAGCCAGTAAGGACTAATGGTCCAGTGAAGATCACGAAATTCAAAAGTAAGTTACAATTAAAAAGCAATTTAGTTTTGAAATATACACAACCCTACAACTGTCTTTTGCTGAAATTGTTAGGTTAATTGAAAAAATAAGTGGTAGGATCTTATTAAGATGTATTTGTTTGTGCATAAGTGAATTGAAATTCTTTTATGTGCTTCAAATTAAATTTTTTTTGATATTTTTAAATTATTTTGATGTGCTACTATAAAAAAATTAAATTAAAAAAATATTATTTCAATATATTTCTAAAAACAAATACTTTAAAAAACAACTATTACCACATTATCAAACATTCTCTAAAGATCTAAAATCAGTAACTAGAATTCAATTCATAAGTGTTTGTTATTAAAGTTATAATATCATTTCAAAAATCATTTCAATAAAAAAAAATTAAGTTACCAAGTAATACTTATAAGAGAACAACAAAAAAAGGTGGTTGTATCTCTGCTGACGTCATCATATTAAAATCTGCAACGTGATAGCTTATTACTTATCATTTTTGACGCCGCAAACGGGAAATACAACACTTGTAAAATTTGGAGGAAGGAACATAACAAGTCAAAGTTTGTAGGATTTAGAAATTGGGAGTAACTACCCTGTTTGTGTGTAGCCCAGGTCCATTAAATCTTCCTTGGAAAGGTAAAGAGAGAGAGATTCGGTTATATTCAAACTAACATTGGCTACCGGATTCAAAAATTTGTTCGAGCCACGAAATTTTAATATCGATATACAAAGGTAGCTCAATAAATAATACCACCTAGCCTTGAAACCAAAAGAACGGGCCTCAATTTTGTCCCACACCTTTAGGGACCTTTAAATATTTGAGTATGCCGCCTCTTGGTTTCCTCTCCGGCATCTTTCTTTCCTGTGATTTTACCTTGTGGTGACGTTTAACAGGAAGGCCTGCAACATAATATAGAGTTCAAGTTATATGTGTGTGTGTCCAAGGTATACGAACAAGAAATATGTAGGCAATATTGTAAGGTCTAATAATGTGGTTCGTTTAGGCATACAGCAGTAGATGAGTCTTCCAAATATGCCCATGGGAAATCCACTCTCAAAAGCGGTTGGCATTTGAGCTAGAAGTTGAAGAGCAGTTACGCCGTCTTTGTCCTTCAATTTGTGGAGCGTGTCATCCAGTTCTAGCAACATTAAAGCTGTTTCTGCATTCATGAAATTAGGCATAGAAGAATTATACGATAACTTATATATATGAGGATACTTTTTAAAATTGAGAATTATATAAAGAGAGGAATAATTGTTACCAAAGTGTTGACCTCTGATAGCAGCGCTAAGGATGGACAAGTCATCTTCCGTTCTCTTGTGGTGAATTGATAACAGGCGGCACTTATCATCCACGCATTGTTCTGGTTTGGACCTGATTAAAAACTCCACTATTTCTGCCTCAGCAAATCCAGCGGCTGTAAACAATGGGGTTTCACCGAACTCATTTCGAATCAGAAGCAGGTCTGGACAACGTTCTACCAAGAGCCTTGCAGCCTCGTAATTCCCATAGATGGTTGCCTCGTGAAGAGCCGTATTTCCAAATTTGTTTTTTCTCTTGAGAATTTCAATCTCAGGTACGTGGGACTCTGTCTCAGGTACTTGGGACTCTGTCTCAGGTACAAGGGATTCTGTCTCATCAGGTACAAGGAATTGTGTCTCAGGTTAAAGGCTTTTTATATCCTTCACGATATCAAGTAAATCTTTAAGTGGTTGCTCTTGTTTGCTGTACACAGCTAAATGAAGTGCAGTATCCGCAGAGAGCGTAACTGGCAAGGGCACATCTAGGACACGTTCCTGATAATGGGCAAGCATGCTTTTCCAATTTCCACTCATGGCTGCTCTATAAGATGTCACCCTTATAGGAATTGAACCCATGTTCTCTCTCTACAAAAAAATAACGTAAGTGACTATTGTTAATGAACAATCTCAACTCAAAGCTAAATAATGTGAAACCCTAAAAATAAATTTATATTATATAACTCATCAATATAATGGAAAACAAAATTAGGAAGTGAGCACTCAAGGAGAACTGTAAGTATGTCATACCTTTAAGTAATGGAAATGATCGAAATGCTCCTCATGGTAAAATCAATGTCAACAAGAAAACTTCTTTCCGGAGAGATGACTACAAACAAACAACCTAGCCTGCAGTTTTTTTTCTGAATTAAGTCGTTTGAGAACCCTATATATACAATCCCTTACTTCCCTTTTCAGAAAAAAAGTAAATTAGGATCTGTGTGTTGCTTGTTTGGTTTATAAAGTGAAACTATTATGAGAATATAATAAAGATATGTTGAATCTCCTTTCGCTTAAAACGTATATATGTTCATGTAAGCTTCTTATTTATTTTAAATAATTAAATAATGCTTTGTATCGATCTCTTAAAATAAAATTTTCTTTTATGGTGAACTCTTGCTGATGAGCTCCTCCTTTGTAGGGATATTTTCTTCCATATTAATAATTTAATTAATCCGTTTCCAGAAGTATATATTAGCTTAAGAACTTGTTTAAATGATCCTTTTAAAAATAAATATATTAAGATTAGATTTTGGTCAAATTTTTTTTTCTTAGTTTCAGTATAAGTGAAAAATGTATTGCATTTGTTAAACCATAATATTAATTTCAGCTTGAAATCAAGATTAACATTCTACCTTTCTAAAATAGGCAAGCAAAAAAGAAGAAATTAATTTATTAATTGTTTAACCTTTTGGAATAATCCTACTTTAATAGTTCTTATTTGCTTTTTTTAGTTAGTTTGTTATTTCTTTAATGGCATTGCCTAAATCTTATTTATATGATCTCTCTATTACTATAAAAAAAAATATTGTCATTTGCTAAAAATATTGTAATTTGCTTTCTCGTACATATATAGTTACACTTATTACACTATAATATGAGATGTTCTCAGTTGCTTTAAAGAACCATAGAATATAAAATTGTATAAAAAAACAATTCTACCCTTAAGTTCCATATCCATCAGTTTCAAGTTAAATTTATGAGAATTGAATTTCTAATTATTTAATCATTATGTTCTCATAACATATTAAATTAAATTATTGAAATGGGGTCATTAAAAAAACCTTCAATTTTATAATGTATAGTACATTTAACATTTTTAATATTCTCTCAATTGAAATTAGTTATTTTATATTTTTTACTCTAATTTTATTAAAGAAAATATAGAATATAAACTTTGAACTCTTCACAGTTTAGTCAATATAATTTTAATATCATATTAAATAATTATTTTAATTTATTAAATGAATTTTCAAAAATGATTTTATATTAACTTTTTAATATTTCACGCCCATTTTACCTTTTATTTTACTTATTAATAATAGTTTGTAATGATCTCTTAAAATACACTTTTCTTTCTTGGTGAATTATTGATGATGAGCTCTTCATTTGTAGGAATATTTTGTTCAACATTAATAGTTCAATTAATCCGTCTCAGAAATATATATATATATATAGCTTATGAACTTGCTTAATTATTCATTATAAAAATAAATATATTAAGATTAGATTGAGGTCAGATTTTTTTTCTTAGTTCATTATATATGAAAAAATGTATTGCATTTGTTAAACCATAATATTACAGCTTGAAATCGAGATTCACATTCTTGCTTCTAAAATAGGCAAGCAAAAACGAAGAAAGTAAATTATTACCGGTTTCCCCTTTTCCTTTTGGAATAATCCTCCTTTAATGGTTCTCAACTGCAGCAATAAGGAAGGTTACATTGAAGGACAAGACAGAAACAGAAAGAAACGTTGGCTTTGATGAAGATATGAAGTTTTTAGAAAATTGAGCTAATTGATAAACTTCAGAATAGTAAATCTTTTTGTTTTTATGAATCATACAACTGTTAACATATATATACATAGGACTGCAGACTTGAATTTCGAAACAAAGCTAAGATTGCGTCTAGCATTTACACTGCATTTACATTAAAGATTTATTTGCCGTTACAAGCTCGATATTAAGCTTGAATGATGGTTGCATAATCCTATGCAAGAGGCAAGGGATTATTTGTTGAATCTGTGGAGATTTCCTTTATACGCTCCCGCAAGATGGATGAGCCATCACCTAAGCCAATCTTGAGCAGTAAAGAATGCAGACGTTGGGAAGACAGAGGTTTTGTTAGAAAGTTTGCCAGTTGATCATCAGTGTTGACATGCTGAACATTGAGAATCTTCTTCTGAACCATATCACAGACAAAATGAAGGTCTATCTGAATGTGTTTCATCCTGGAGTGTTGAACTAGATTGAAGCTAAGGTGTGTAGCTCCCAGGTTGTCACACAACAGTCTTGGTGGAGATGGAATTGGGAGACAAAGTTCTTTGAACAGAGACAACAACCAAACTGTTTCAGACGTAGCAGTGGCAAGTGAACGGTACTCAGCTTTAGTTGATGACCTGGCAATAGCACGTTGTTTCTTAGAGCTCCACGAGATAGGATTGATCCCAAGAAATGTAATGTAAGCTGAAGTGGAGGTGCGATCATCATAATTTCCAGCCCAGTTAGCATCAGCAAAGGTTGTTGACACGACGAAAAGGTTGATGTCTTCTCCCAAGTGCAGGAGTGTCGAAGTAATAAATAACCCGGCAAGACCGGGGTCGAACCACAGGGAAGTTAATTGTACAAATTATAAACAACAATTATAAAACAACAATAACAACAACAACAATAGTAATAATAATAATAATAATAATAATAATAATAAAGAAAGAGAAGAAGAAGAAGATGATGATGATGATGAGAACTTAGAGATGAAATATTAATGTAAGGATTAAACAATAATAATAACAAATGTCAAGGTTAGAGGTTCCACTAATGGTATATCAAACAAGTATAGTATAAACTCTTATTATTGAATTGGAAACCACACACAAAGGAGGTTCCAATCAGATTATATATTGTTAACATGATTACATTAGTCATCTTATTCAATTAATGCTAATACTTGTAAATCTCGTCAAGCATTCATGATTATAACTTATGTTAACAACAAATCAAGTTCCTTTCATAGCTCAGGTGTCGGTTATACCATACATTATGGGTTATTAAAGTGTCAAGCATTTGTTGTATCAAGTGTTATACAACATAAATCAAGATTAGTCATTTAACAAGCAAAGTATTAAAGAGTGAACAAGATAACAAATGTTGTAACCCAATTTTGGATTCACTAAAATTTTTTAGGAATGTTATTTTATCTTATTATTCATGACAAAAAAATATAATAAATAAAAAAAGAAAAAAAAGAGTTTAAAATATATTTTCTCGAGTCAACCGTCATTTTCTGTCAAAACCGAGTCCACCGGGATGAAAAATGAGTTTCAGGACGTTTCGGGTCAAAACCGTCATTTTCTGTCAAAACCGAGTTCATCGGGTCAATACGGGTCCCACCATGTCGACCGCAATGAAAAATGAGTTTCGGGCTGTTTCGGGTCAAAACTGTCATTTTCGGTCAAAACCGAGTCCACCGGGTCAATACGGGTCCCACCATGTTGACCGGGATGAAAAATGAGTTTCGAGCTGTTTCGGGTCAAAACCGTCATTTTCGGTCAAAACCGAGTCCAGCGGGTCAATATGGGTCCCACCATGTCGACCGGGATGAAAAATGAGTTTCGAGCTGTTTCGGGTCAAAACTATCATTTTCGGTCAAAACCGAGTCCACCAGGTTAATACGGGTCCCACCATGCCGACCGCGATAAAAAAATGAGTTTCGGACTATTTTTGTCAAAACTGGTATTTTTGGGTCAAAAACCCGGTCCACCGAGTTGATACCCGTATAAAAAAGTTTTTTTTGTAATTTAAAATTAATTTTTAGCGGATGAAAAACTTTTTATAATACTGATTTGAATTTTTAATTTTTACCCCTATAAATAAATATTATTATTATTATTTAGTATTATTATATTATTATTTAGTATTATTATATATAATAAGACAAATAGTAATCGGTGGAACTTTGAAAATTTTAACAATCCGTGAATTGTTAACAATTCATTGGCTATAAATAGCCAATGAATTCAAGACAGCAGGAAAAAAAAAAGAATAAAAAATTGATTCTTCATTTGCGATTCTCAATTCGAGCAGGTTACTAATGTATACTATTTATTTTTTTTATACTAAATTAAAAAAATATCAAAAATATCTCAACCGTTAGATCTAATAGTGTTTAGATCTGAGCCTTTGATTTCTTAGGATACAATAGGCTTTACCACACCAGATTAAAACCCAAATCAATCTCAGCCGTTCAAATAATCTGCCCTTCGATCTGGTTGCGCCACGTCAGCAGGTATACCGAGCACTCGGTACACCGCGCCACACCAGATCGTAGCCCATTCAATCCTGACCGTCCGATCAACTTGAAGATCAAACGAATCACAGCCGCACGATCTGTTCATCCGAGATCCAGCGGTTCACAGCCTTCAGACGCACGAGTGCACCATACACTCGTCCACGCCAGATCAAAACCCAGAGCTTCTCTCTCCTCTCGCCGGCAATTCTCTCTCTCTCCGCGGATCTCCCATTTCCGGCCGTCTCAAGCCGTGAAACCACCACAGAATTGTGCATCGCCTCCCCCTAAGCAAAACCCCGGCCGTTTCACACTTTTTTACCAGCTAATTTGGCCAACGAGACCACCACCATCAGAATCCTCATCCTCAGATCTACCAGAATTGACTATCTACCGTCTCAACGTGAACAGTAACCGCGCGTGAACAGTTACCGCGCGTGAGCCACACGCGCCGCCAGTGGCATTTTCGTAAATTTTCGATAAATCCGAGGGTATTTCAGTCTTTTACCTATACAAGGGTACTCAGGTAATTTTCTATGATATTTTATGATATTTTTATATATAAATACTTGTAAATTTTTGCGTGTGAAAAAAACAAAAATAAATGACGACGCGGGTTCAACAGCCATTTTTATCATATCACTGTTTATGGGTTAAAAACCCAATTTTCAAGAATTGATATATCTATTTGTGAATGATATCAAAATAATTTTTATTTTATAAAATAAATATTATTTGTCGACACGTCTCTTTTATTTACAGAAAAGGACCGATGTCAAAAAAAAAAATTAAATACCAAATATGGATTATACCCATTTATTATTTATTTTGGTAAATTAGACGTAACTCTCCTTTTTAGGGATAAACGTCGACATTTTAGACAAAGTATCCTAATTTTAGGGACTGATGTCATTTTTAACGCGTCTCCTATTTTTAGGGACCGACGTTAACCATGTTAAAAAATTTACAAATAAGCTCAAAATATAATAGCATTTGAATTAGATAAGAAAAACACACAAGTAAAGGTAACCTTTCTCTGAAAGGATGTTTTAAGGGTGGTGTCTACCTTCCCTTAATCATAACTAACCCAGTACCTGAATCTCTGGGACTAGTGTCTAATTTTGGATTTCTAGTTCCCTCAAATTACTAGATGGCGACTCCAATAAAATCTTTATTTCCCCCAATCAAATAAAAATTAAATTCCTTTTGTTTAAAAAAAAAAACAAACAAAAAAGAGGAGTGGAGCCGTCGCCCGACGTCGTATAGCGACAGAATGGCGACTCCACTGGGGACTTAGGGTTGAACCAACTGCTTGTGTTTGCTTTTCATATGATTTTTCTTATATGCTATTTATTTTTGGTATTTATTTTATTTACATTATTTATTACTGTAATTCTTTTCAATTTTTCATATTGGCCACATGCATGCATGATATTTATTTGTGTATTCACACACTTCACGATGAACCCATAAAAGCTCTGGACCCGAGCTGTCCTTTTTAAGATTAGAAAAGAAAGATTCAAGTGGCAAGTGTGACTTATGTCCACTGATGCTCATTTGGACTTTCGCTTGGATTGTAACTCACCCTATGCAACGGGTATTGTGGAATTTTCTCCCATACTCATGTTGCATAAGGTTAAGAGGCCGGTTACTTCACAAGTAATTCGGGCAATTTAAGAACCAAATAATTTCTTTAAGGATAGAATAAACTAAGCCAAACCTTATGAGTTAAATCCTATCAAGTAGGATATAAGACACAAATAAATTGTCAATGCATTAACATACATTTTCATATACATTCCATATTCTCATTATATCTCCACCGATCCTTATAGGAAGTGTGAGATGGAAAAAACCAATACTATTGAGGAATTTTTGACCAGATCAGAATTGAGCCAACATGATGAAGGGGATTGTTTGCCATCAGAATTCGAGCCTCAATTACCGGCACAGGTTAAATTAGATGACAGACCACTTGGTACAGGACAACTACTGAACTGTTGGGAAATGTTATCTGTTCATGATCAGGTCGATTTTCAGAAACAATATGGGGACTTGGCACATTTACTGAAAATTAGGGTCCAACATGCCTGTTTTCAAGCCATGATAGGTTTTTGGGATCCAGAATATCGGTGTTTCACTTTTGATACTGTGGATATGACTCCTACTATCGAGGAGTATGGATCTTTGCTAAATTGTCCCAAGTCAGAAAAGGTGTACTTTTACACACCTATAGAGCATGCACTTTCTAACTTTGCTTGGATTACCCAGATAGACTGTCAACTAGCAAAATCACATGCAACTAAACGAGGAAACAGCCAGGGTTGGTTTTGGAATGAGCTAGAAGCCATATTCAAGAGGAGACTACATGATGAAAGCAATGAAATTCGATTGAGAATTTTGGCCTTGGGCATATATGGTTTGGTTCTTTTCCCATCTGCCAAGGGAATGATCGATTTTGAGGTTGTTAATGTATTTAAAAATGTGGTGACCCTTAAAATTAATCCTGCTACAGCAATATTGGCAGAAACTCTCTCATCCTTGAATTATTGTAGAAAAGCCGGAAAAGGTCGTTTAAGATGTTGCTTGCAGCTTTTGTTTGTCTGGACTGTGAGTCACATGATTGAGGGGAAGATTTCAGGTTTGGTTGGTACCCCATGGCATCTTTATTCTAAGTTGGAGAATTTTGCTGAAAAACATTTGCATGAAGTAGGAAGAACTACATGGGAATCAATGTTTCTGAGTTTGAGTAAATCTCAATTTCATTGGAGGAGTCGATATTCTTACTTCAAATCTTATCTGGCATATTGTGGTGAGTACCCATGGGTCCCGTTGATAGGAGCCCGCTGCTGTATTAGTTATTGTCCTAACATGGTTTTACGACAGTTTGGATTTGAGCAGTTTATTCCAAGGACTACCGAGCTGGCAACATTCTATGAAGATTTCAAGACCTCGAAGAAATTATTAGAGTCAGTGAAAAAGGCATGGAAGCATCCTGGTAGGGTTACTTCTGTTAAGAGGGTAGAAGGAAAAACAACTAAAGGATATCCAATATGGCAGAAGAAGAGAGGGAAAGGGTACAAAGTTCCTCCATTTGAAGGGCCATCCAGGTCTGTGATTCAGTCTGCTGAAGACATACATGAAGAGGTTTGTGCTCAACAAGAATCTTACAACCTAGATTTGAATTCTGAAGTAGAAGAGTTAACGGCTAAAAAAAGAAAGTTAGCATCTAATCTAGCCATCCGAGAAAAAGCATTGGCTATCACGAAACAGGAAAAGGATGACTTGTCAACTCAGCTACAACATCAACAACTTGAGTTCCAGCGACTACAAGAAAAATATGCATTTCTGTCAGAAGATAAGAGGAAGCAAGATGTCAACATGAAGAGATGGGTTAAAAGAGCATCAAAATCTGAGGAAATAGCATTAAAGTTGGAAGAGGCAAATAAATCACTTCAGGAATAGTGTCAAAATCAAGATGTAGTGATTGCCAATTTAGATGAGCAGGTGAACCATTTGCTTTCCATTGAGCAAACCTTATCATCAGAAAAAGAAAATGCAAAAAAAGAAGCAGAATGTTGGGCTTCTGAAGCTATGCGCTATCATGTACAAGCAGATGATGCCAAGAATTATGCTTCAGGATTAAGAAGCATGGCCCAACAAATAGCAGATGGTGAACCAATGACTAGAAATGAATTCCATCAGTTTTTTGGGCTAATCAGAGATGGGATTAATGAGATAGCAGCATATGACGGCCCAAGGCTTTGGAAAGATTGACTTGTTGTAATTCTGATATTGTAAACCAATAAAAGACAATTTCATCATCTTTTTTATTATGAAAAATGTTTATTTTGATATGGATTTATGCCATCAAATTTCTTCCCTAAATCGGTTCAAGTTCCTGTAGGTTTGGAGTCCTTAGTGAGAACTTTTTTTTAAGAGAATCTGATCTAGTCTATTCCTCATCATAAGTTAAAGGAAAACCTAAAACAAATAACAGGCATACATCATCCATATAGCATTTTGCATCCATTTGTGCATTTCATTCATTTTTATGGCATTCATCCAGGTTGAAATATAGGTCCCCCAAAAGACCATAAAATTCATTACACTCGACTTCGAAGAAAGATAATGGAGAACGAAGAAAGAGCACATCTAGAGGCTCATTATCAAAGGGAGTTGGAGAGCATGAAAAATGATATCGCAAGACTTACAAGTCTACTCGAGCAGGCACTAGTATCCAAGTCTGGAGAAGATACCTCTACTCAGCCAACGGTTGCAACTCCATCTATATCTACTCCAGTAGCTCCTTTCGTGTTCACTTCTCAAAATCTAGGGGCAAATCCTTCTTCATCTGAACAGCAGTTCAGTGTCAATGTTCCACCAGCACAAGTGCCGATCATAAACTTGACAACTGATGACTCACATAGGATGAGATACTCTAAACCTGTTGATTATGACAAATTGACCGCTCTAGAAGAAAGATTAAGAGCAGTCGAAGGGGCAGACTTATATGATCCTGTTCATGCTGCAGAGATGTGTTTAGTCCCAAATGTAGCTGTACCCAAAGAATTTAGGGTACCGGAATTTATCAAGTATACGGGAACTGAATGCCCACTTACTCATCTTAAATCTTATTGCAATAAGATGGTAGAAGTGGTGAATGATGAGAAACTTCTCATCCATTTCTTTCAAGACAGTCTTTCTGGATCAGCACTAAGTTGGTATACAAGACTAGATAATACTAAGATCAGAAAGTGGAAAGATTTGGTCAAAGCTTTTGTGGAGCAATACAAATTTAACATGGAGGTAGCCCCGGACAGGTCAAGCTTGTTAGTCATGGAGAAGGGCAACAAATAGACTGTAAGAGAATACGCTTTGAGATGGCGTGAAAAAGCATCCCATGTGCAACCCGCTTTGTTAGAAAAAAAAATGGTCACTCTGTTTACCAACACTTTTAAATCTCCCTACTTTGAACACCTAGTGGGTAGTTCAGCTCAGCATTTTTATGATGCTGTAACTATTGCTGAGAGGATAGAACAAGCAATAAGAATGGGGAGAATGTTAGAGCCTACTGAGAAGAAAGGCTTTATCGAGAAAAAGAAGGAGTCTGAGGTGAACAATATGGAAGGAGGGTACAAGGGTAAGAAGAAAAATTACCATCACTATAACTTCCAAAGACCTACCCAACAAGTTGCAAGTGTAAGCTTCACTAAACCTTTCCCTACCAACCAACAAAACCAACCAAATGACCAACAAAGTAACCAGATTGTTAATCCTCTAAGAAGGAATTTTCAAAGAACCCAAGAACGATTGCCACCATTACCACTTCCCTTGGGAGAAATGTATTCGAAGTTGTTGAGTATTGGGCAAGTGGCCCCTGTTCCTTTAACCCCACTACAACCTCCATACCCAAATTGGTATAAGCCTGATATGACATGTGAATATCATGCTGGCATTGCTGGGCATAACATTGAAAGCTGTAATGCATTCAAAAACAAGCTCCTTCAATTGATAAAAGCTGGATGGATAACTTTTGATGATGCACCGAATGTGAATTCCAACCCTTTACCTAATCATGCTACAAGCAGTGGAGGGGTGAATGCTATCGGAGTAGAGGGTAAGAAGGAAAGAACTTTGAAGGTTTCCATGGAAAAACTGTACGGTATGATGGTACAGTCTGGATATTTATCCGAGTTTGAACCAGTAATGAATGGAAATAATTACTGTAAGTTTCATGCCAAGGTGGGACATCACATTGATGATTGCGAAGAATTTCACCAAAGAGTGAAAAGGATGCTGATTTTCGGCATGATACGGATAGAAAGTGAAGAAGAAAGCAGTGAAGTGGGGATGATAGGCGGCCAGGAGAAAAAAAGAGAGGTTTGTAGACTCCAACCAACTGTGGGTGGTCCGCCAAAACTAATCCTAATCAAGCCTGTATGTACCAATAATGGAAGTTATGGCACAATGCCTTACAATTATTGGTATGCTTTCAACGTTAAAAATCCTACTCCTGTCTTCCATACAGAAATCGGTGGTTTAACTCGAAGTGGTCGTTGTTTTACACCAGAAGAATTAGAGAGGCAGAGGAAAGCTAAAGGAAAAGAAACAGTTGAGGCTTTTAAAGATATGGAAGTGAACAAACCCATAAGTGAAGAGGAGTCTAATGAATTTCTGAAGTTGATGAAGCATAGTGAGTATAGTATAGTAGATCAGTTGAAGAAAACTCCTGCTAGAATCTCTTTAATGTCACTTATCTTGAGTTTTGAGTTACACCGTAAAGCGTTGCAAAAGGTGTTGAATGAAGCATATGTGCCACAGGATATTACTCAGGATACAATGGAGCATTTGGTGGGAAGAATTCAAGCCTCCAATTACTTATATTTCACTAAAGATGAGCTAGACCCGGAAGGGACTGGGCATAACAAGCCCTTGTATATCACTGTGAAATATAAGGACTGTCTGATTGGCAAAGTGCTTGTGGATAATGGTTCAGCTTTGAATGTGCTACCAAGGTATATGCTGGATGAGATGCCAATTGATGCTACTCATATGAGGCCAAGTACTATGACGGCTAGAGCATATGATGGTTCCCCTAGACAAGTGATAGGGACCATTGATATTGAATTGTGTATAGGGCCTCAGATGTTTTTGATAACCCTACAAGTGATGGATATCCATCCTTCCTATAGCATGTTATTAGGAAGGTCATGGATACACGCCTCTAGGGCTGTGACATCATCTCTACACCAATGCCTGAAGTACATCATCAATGGTACTTTAGTGAAAGTTGAGGCAGAAGAAACCTTGTCCATGATAAGGAATGTGGCGGTCCCTTATATTGAAGCAGAAGATTGCAAAGATGGAGATCTCCATGCCTTCGAGATTGTGAACACCGAATGGGTACCGGAGAATACTGTGTTAAGAAGACCAGCTATTTCTAGTACTGCTAGAATGATAGCTAAATGCTTTTTAAAACATGGGCTGCCATTCCAGAATGATCTAATTGCTGGAAATCATAAAAGAGTCAACATGATGAAAATTAAGGCCGTTGATAAGAGGTTTGGGCTTGGCTTCAAGCCTAAGAAAGATGATCATAAGAGAGCTGCTAGGATAAAGCGAGAGAGAAGGTTGGCCAGAATAGAAGGAAGAAAGCCAAAGGAAGAAGACATTGCAATCCCACCTATCCATGTTTCTTTTCCAAAGTCAGCATATGTGATGAAACCTGAAAACATGATGGAAGTCTTGGGACAGAAACTTGCTGTCATGGATATCAACAATGTAGAAGAAGGTGAAGAGAAAGGCTGGAACTGTGATGATGAGCCAATAACAATAAAAGAAGATGAATTGTTACCACAGTTAACTGTCCATGCTCTAGAAGAAGCTCCAACCAACGCCTTTGTGCGAAAGCTTTCAGTTGAAGAAGTATTCCAGAATTGGGAGATTGAAGAAGCCCCAATTGTTTTTAAGAAGTAATGATTAAGTGTCTACTTATATTTGCTTTTATGTGTTTTGCATTGTACTTTGCTTTGTGTTTTTATACCTAGTTTGAAATCTTGGTTCAAGATGACAACATAAGGTCTTTTCATAATTGTTGAGTCAACTTTTAAAATAATATTGAGATCAAGCATTTTCATCAGTGTTTGTTGAATTCCTTTTATTTTTTATTTTTTTTCGGCTACAAGATATGCATTCACACTAAAAAACACCTTCCGCTTTCAGGAATTCTGAAAGTGAATCCTCCATAAATCCACAAACATATTGCATTGAAAATGAATGGCCAAACTTTGATAAGGATGAGATTGCAATGGATGAAGAGGAATGGGATGAAGAGTTTGCTAGACGGGTAGAACAGTCGGAGCATGCTTGGAAACCTGCGAAGGAAGAACTAGAGGTGATAAATGTAGGCACCGAGCAAGATAAAAGAGAGTTAAAGATTGGAACTCTGATCACTACAGAAGAAAGATGCAGTTTAACCTCATTACTACAAGAGTATATCGATGTGTTTGCCTGGTCTTATACAGATATGCCTGGTTTAGACATTGATATTGTAGTACACAGATTACCTTTGATAGAAGGATGTAAACCTGTTAAGCAGAAATTAAGAAGAACTCGCCCAGATATTATGCTCAAAGTCAAGGCAGAGATAGAGAAGCAGTGGGATGCTGGTTTTCTAGAAGTTATTAAATACCCTCAATGGGTATCTAATATAGTGGTGGTACTAAAAAAAGATAATAAAATCAGAGTATGTGTAGATTTCAGGGATCTAAACAAAGCCAGTCCGAAGGATGATTTTCCTTTGCCTCACATAGATGTCCTGGTAGACAATGCTGCTAGGAGTTCAACTTACTCCTTCATGGATGGATTTTCCGGTTATAACCAGATTAAAATGGCTGAAGAAGATAAAGAGAAGACCACTTTTGTCACACCATGGGGAACATTCTGCTACAAAGTGATGCCATTCGGGTTGAAGAATGCTGGAGCCACGTATCAAAGGGCAATGGTGACACTTTTCCATGATATGATGCATAAAGAGATTGAAGTGTATGTGGATGATATGATTGCCAAGTCTAAGAATGAAGAAGATCATGTTCAGGTTCTAAGAAAATTATTTGAAAGACTAAGAAAGTATCAGTTGAAGCTGAATCCTTCAAAATGCTCGTTTGGGGTAAAGTCTGGAAAGTTGCTAGGATTTGTGATAAGCAATAAAGGAATAGAGGTCGATCCTGATAAAGTGAAAGCAATTCAGGCTATGACGGTTCCTAAGACCGAGAAAGAAGTAAGAGGTTTCTTAGGACGTTTGAATTACATTTGCTTGATTCATATCTCAGTTAACAACAACATGTGAGCCAATTTTTCGATTACTTCGGAAAAAGAACCCTGGTATATGGGACAAAGATTGTCAAGAGGCTTTTGATAAAATAAAGCAATACTTACAGAATCCACCTTTACTCGTGCCCCCTGTGCCTGGAAGACCTTTGATCTTGTATTTGACAGTAACTGAGGTAGCAATGGGCTGTGTGTTAGGACAACATGATGAGTCTGGAAGAAAGGAGCAAGCTATCTATTATCTGAGTAAGAAGTTTACAGATTGTGAATCCAGATATACTATGACTGAGAAGCTATGTTGTGCTCTTGTATGGAGTACGAAGCGTCTTCGACAATATATGTTGTATTATACCACCTGGTTGATCTCAAAAATGGATCCTCTTAAATACATCTTTGAGAAACCCTACTTGTCAAGCCGAATAGCAAGATGGCAAGTGATGTTGGCTGAGTATGACATTGTATACAAGACAAGAAAATCTGTAAAAGGAAGTGTAATTGCTGATCATCTAGCAGATAATGCTATCAATGACTATGAGCCTTTGAAATTTGACTTCCCGGATGAGGATGTGTTGATAGTAGAAGAGGACAAAGAAAAGGATGATTGGTGGATCATGTATTTTGATGGGGCAGTGAATGTTTCTGGTAATGGAGCAGGCGCTGTGATAATCTCACCTGACAAGAAGCAATATCCCGTCTCAGTCAAACTACAATTTGAATGCACTAACAATACTGCTGAATATGAGGCTTGTATCCTTGGATTAGAAGCTGCTTTGGAGATGAAAATAAAGAAGCTTGATGTCTATGGGGATTCAATGTTAATAATCTGTCAAGTGAAAGGTGAATGACAGACCAAGGAGGAAAAATTGATACCATATCAACAATATCTCTCGAAACTGACTGAGGGCTTTGATGAGATAGATTTTACCCACATGGGAAGAGACAAAAACCAGTTTGCTGATGCTTTGGCAACCTTAGCTTCTATGGCCAAAACTGATTACGGAGTAAGGGTACAACCAATCTGCATTGAGATTAGAAATTTTCCAGCTCATTGTTGTTCAATTGAAGGAGAAATAGATGGGAACCCATGGTTTTATGACATCAAGCAGTTTATCCAATATCAAGAGTATCCCTTGGGGGCATCCAAAGCAGATATGAAGACCTTGAGAAGGTTAGCTCTGGAATTTTACCTGGATGGAGAAATTCTATATAGAAGGTCATTCAATGGGACTTTACTAAGATGTCTAGATGAAATCAAAGCTAAGGTAGCATTACAAGAAATTCATGAAGGAATTTGTGCAACTCATGCAAGTGGGCATATGATGGCTAGACAATTACAACGATCTGGGTATTTCTGGATGACCATGGAGAAAGATTGCATCGATTATGTCAGGAAATGTCATAAATGTCAAGTGTATAGTGATAAGATAAATGCACCTCCAGCTCCTCTATTTAATATGACATCACCATGGCCATTTGCAATGTGGGGAATAGATGTGATTGGGCCAATCAACCCAAAAGCCAGCAATAAGCATCAATTTATCTTAGTAGCCATTGATTACTTCACAAAGTGGGTGAAGGCCAGCTCTTATGCCCATGTAACTCAAAAGGTGGTCAAGAGTTTTATTGAGAAAGATTTGATCTGTCGGTATGGTTCACCTGAGAAGATAGTGACCGATAATGCCCAGAATTTTAATGGAAAAATGATCACAGAATTATGCATGAAGTGGAAAATTAAACATTCAAACTCATCTCCCTACAGACCAAAGATGAATGGTGTTGTCGAAGCTGCAAACAAGAATATCAAGAAGATTATCCAGAAGATGGTAGTTAATTACAAGGATTGGCATGAGATGCTTCCCTTTGCTCTACATGCATATCGCACAGCAGTAAGAACGTCTACTGGAGCTACACCTTATTCACTAGTATTTGGGATGGAGGCGGTGATGCCTTTGGAAGTAGAAATTCCATCTTTGAGAGTACTAATAGAATCTGAACTAGAAGAAGCTGAATGGGCTAAAGTGAGATATGAGCAGCTAAACATGATAAGTGAGAAGAGGTTGGCTACAATTTGTCATCACCAGTTATACCAAAGAAGGATGGCCAAAGCATATGACCGGAAAGTCCGACCAAGAGAATTCAAAGAGGGGGATCTTGTGCTCAAAAAAATCTTACCACTACCAAGTGAAGACCGAAGCAAGTGGGCACCAAACTATGAAGGCCCATATGTAGTGAAGAAAGCTTTCTCCGAAGGGGCTATGTTGTTAACTAGGATGGATGGAGATGATTTACCTAGGCCCGTGAACTCTGATTCTGTGAAAAAGTATTATGTATGATGTATTTCATCCAATCAAAATCAAATGAAATGAAGTTTTGGCCAGGAAATTCTCTTTGCATATACCTCACCAAAAAGCCCATGCATGATCTCAATGGCTCAACAATCTGATCTTTCAAAATTTTTTTTTTACAAGAGAACCCATTCTTCTTAAATGAGGTTTTAAAAGAATTGATTTTGTTTATGATTTCAATGAAATAAATCAATGATTTGTTTAGGATAATGTTCAAAGCAATTCTCTTGAAAGAGATGACCATACAAGTCAAGAACACGCAATTGGAACAACTATCACTTAAATTCTGTCTTGGACTTACATTTTATCAGCATGAATAATGGTTGGTAGTACATTAGCTTGTCATGGACTTGCAAAACATGGTATCTTATAAATCCAAAACATTACGCTGGATGTGGACAAAGTTTATTGGTTTTAACCGATCTTGCTTGAAATGAAGAAAGGCCATCTTTGATATTCCTTTCACTTTCTTTTAAAATTATCCTTTGCAGTCCCAATTTGAGCCGAGTCTATTTAAAGTTTTTTTCATAAGAACCTTAACTAAGATCACACCCTACATTGGGGGCAAAATGAAAGAAATGATCATGGAAATCATCTTGAAGACATGTGAGCTTATGAAGTTTGACAACAACGAATTCAAAAAAAAAATTCCAAATAATTAAGAGAATTCCCAACAAATAAAAAATTCCTAATTTGGAATATTTAGTATCATTTTGTTGTCAAGATAGCAAAAGAAAAGATGAAGATAAGATAACAGTGATCTATAGTTTTCAAACCCTTAAACACCTTTTTTGAGCTTATGAAATCCCTTTTCTTTTACAGCCTTGAGCCATAAATACATTACATGCCTTTAAAGTCCTTTCTAATCAAGGAAGCAACCTGAATTAATAAACAGCGTTCCCAAAATATAAGAGACTTTTTCATAAAGAGTCATGATGTAGTAAATAATTACTCATTATTATTCATGCTGATAAAAGGACTGTTTTTAAAAATAAAAGGCAATTGTTTCTTTTCCTTCAAAATACATTCAAGATTGCTTGAACACATTGAAAACCAAAGCAGAAGGTCATCTCATCACTTACCTTTATTTGAGATTACTTTTAATAAGAGATTTAATACAAATCCTTAGAGTTGCTTGAACATTGTTATAAACAGACATTGAGAGTTTCAGTTTTCAAAAACAAAAGAGATCTTTTGAAAAATCATTTTTGAAAAAATGGTTTTCTATGTTAAGAAGACAGATATATGAGACACCAAGAGGCAGTGTTAGAAAATCAGAGATTCTAACGACAACAAGAGCAAATAAGGAAATGAAAAGAGACAGTTACTTCTTCCAAGGGTAGAGAAGCAATCACAAGAAATCTTCCAGAGGCAGAGAAGCAATCACCTGATTCCTAATGGCACAAAGAAATTTGCCTCCCTAGTGGGAGATACACATGATAAAACTGTAGACTTCTTCCAATGTGGGATTGAAATAGCATGATTATGCAGTTGACACAAAGAAATTTGTTTCCAAGGTGAAGTGGGATAATCCTCATATATTGACCATGTGAATTGGTTAAAGAATCCTCAACAACGGAAATGTTACCAACAATACGATGTCAGACCAGGAAGAAGCTAATGCTCTCAATGAAGTATCCAATGGAGAAAGAGGCAGTGACTATTGGGAAACTCAAACAAAGTTTATCTTGGAGAACTCAACAACATGGGTCAGCTTGAGTAGATTTGAAAGTCGTGTGAATCAAAAGAGCTTGCTAACATTCAAGATCGCCAGACAAGATGAATGGGGGATCTATATTTCAAAAAGGTAAGATGCATCTCATATCATCTAACTTCACAGACATTGCATATATGTCTTGTAGATATTTCTTGAAACAAAATTCCCAACGGGATCCAACGAGATTCAGACGAAATGAAGTCATTTTAATCACATCAAATATGACAATTTCATGAAAGCAAAATTCATAAATGAAGACAAGAAAGATGGATTTTTATTCATGATAAAAGGTTTAAAAGTACAAATATTAAACAGTGCGAGGACGATTAGGGATATTGTCATCTTGATCATTAATTAAGCCTCAAAGTTCTTCAAATTGTTTACGCATATTCTCCATCTCTTCCTCAAACTCGAGGTGTCGTGTGTTAACATAGTCCTTCCAAAAGTCGACACGTGTATTCAGCTCTTGGTTTCTCCTCTCCAAGTCGTTTCTCTGACGTCTTTCATCACGGAGTCTATTCCTTAAATTCTCAATCAGATGATGGAGATCAAGAACCTGAGTATTCAGCTCAAGTCTTCTAGCATGAAGACGCTCTGCAACATTCACCAGAGATGAAGTAGCTCTGATGCTGAGAGCAAGTGATTGATTCACTGCTTCAATATCGCTCCTAGCTGCCAGCATGGTTTCATCACGGGGAAGGACCATGTCTCTAGCCACGGCTACAGCAGTATCTTCATTGTCCATTACAGTATCTTCTATTGTAACTGGACGACCATTCACTTCAAAAGTAGTACGCCAAACTATAGGCTCTACTGCAGGAACAAGATTTGGGTTAACATTGGAAGAAGAGGAAGACATGATTAAAGCTTCAAGAGTTGGGAACTTTGAAAGGCTTGAAATACAAGAAGTTGATGATGTTTGTCACCAAAAACTGCGTAATTTATAAGGATTCTACTCTTACTATTACTCTGAACAGATGATCAAATCTCAACCGTAGACGTAAGACTTTCATGAGAAGCTTTCATTATCTCTGAAATTGATTGCAAATCAGATCTCAGTCGTAGATATAAGACTTTCATGAGAAGCTTTCATCATCTCTAAGATTGATTTACAAATCAGTGTCACCAAAAACTGCGTAATTTATAAGGATTCTACTCTTACTATTACTCTGAACAGATGATCAAATCTCAACCATAGACGTAAGACTTTCATGAGAAGCTTTCATTATCTCTGAAATTGATTGCAAATCAGATCTCAGCCGTAGATATAAGACTTTCATGAGAAGCTTTCATCATCTTTGAGATCGATTTTTACAAATCGGATCTGAGTCATACAAATATGACTTCCTTTAGAAGTTTTCATTAACTTTGAAAATCATAGTTGAAATCACTTTCATGTATTTCACAAAACCATTGATGAAATCACTTCCATGTATTTCACAAAATCAATCTGAAATCACTTTCATGTATTTCAGAAAACCATTATTGAAATCACTTTCATGTATTTCACAAAATCAATATGAAATCACTTTCATGTATTTCAGAAAACCATTGTTGAAATCACTTCCATGTATTTCACAAAATCAAGGATGAAATTACTTTCATATAAAACAATTTGAAATCACTTTCATGTATTTCAGGAAACCATCAATGAAATCACTTTCATGTATTTCACCAAACCATTGTTGAAATCACTTTCATGTATTTCACTAAACCATTGTTGAAATCACTTTCAAGTATTTCACAAAATCAAGATTGAAAACATTTTCATGTTTTTCACTTCGGTAGGTCGCCCATAAGAATTAGACCAACTGAAAATATATGTGTTTTTCAACATCTCCAGCATTTTTCTTTACAATACTTCCTATGCAAAGTCAAAAGAAAATGATTTTTTCAATGTCTTTGCACCGTAAGCATTGTAAAGAGGGGGCAACTGTTGTAACCCAATTTTGGATTCACTAAAATTTTTTGGAATGTTATTTTATCTTATTATTCATGACAAAAAAATATAATAAAAAAAAAGAAAAAAAAAGTTTAAAATATATTTTCTCGAGTCAACCGTCATTTTCGATCAAAACCGAGTCCACCGGGTCAATACGGGTCCCACCATGTCGACCGGGATGAAAAATGAGTTTCGGGCTGT